TAACTCGACCGGACGCCATTCACATCGCGGTGGTTCAAACTACGCTCCACTAGGAAGCTTTGACCACCTATTCAGTCCACCAAAGGATGTGGTGGTGGCAGGAACACCTTATCTGGCTCGAGGGTCGGAATAACTTGATGTTCAGGAGCTGAATCGTGTATCGGAAGAGTTACACGATGACCTGGCTCATGAACGGACTCGGCGTTATGAGCTACAGGATCTTGTAGAGAGTAATTAAAATTCCTTAGCGCACGATCGTTCGGACTTTAAAATTTCATGAAACTTTAAAGAATCATTAAAATGCCTTAGCGCACGATCGTTCGAACGATCGCGCCGCGTTTGCGCTTGCACAACTTGGGAACGAGCGTCCGATTCGTTCTCTTCGTAGAGAGCTGACTGTAGCTCGTCCGGACATCGCTGAACTGCGTGAACAGGTCGCTTCGCTAGTCGACCAGACTGGATCGTTGAAACGGGACCACTCGAGGGTGGTATCGGCTGTCGACCGCGGAGGAGTTCTTTGCATCTCGAAACGGGCTCGCACTGATAGTACGGGCGAAGACGTCCATCGTAAAGCGTAGGATGCGTACGCATCTTACGGGGCATTTCAATCGTGTATGCGTTGCCCATTCGGCGCAACACACAAATTGGACCAATGTGCTTGGGCAGCAATTTACTGCTGCCCACGTTTGTCACTGCGTGTTTCGGTAGGTTTACTGTAAACAGGAAAACTAAGTCTCCTTCATCAAATGAAAGAACATTTTCTCTTCCATAATTGTCTGCGTTTCTATTTTGTCTGTCTATTGCATGAGTCTTGAACGAAGCGGACAACCTCTTTGCGAGTCAGCAGAAATTCCTCTGCTGATTCATCCTTGTCAACAGCAGTGCGCTTCGTGTGCACTGCTGAAAGAACGTTGTCTTCACCAGTGAGGGTGTCATCGTCCTCACTTTGGCAGTCATTCGCGATGCTGAATATACCAGCATCGTCGTCATCATCATCATCGATATTGATCGCATCGATATCGGCATCCATCACGTCGACACCATTGTCGTCGAGTGATGAGCAAGAACCGGATCAGTTTTTGTTCGAGAGAGTACATTCCCCCTTAAACTAGAGTCACACTCTAATAAGGCGGGTAAACGTGGATGTCATAGGCCATTCACGAAGAACGGTGTATGCTTTGTCGACACATGCACCGATATGTTGGTGGCGAATTCCGTCATCGGAAAGGATTCACTCCAAATCGTAAACGAGTGGACGCACCCTCGAAGTATCTCTTCGAGGACGCGGTTGACGCGTTCCGTTTGACCATCTGTTTCGGGATGGTCCAAAGTCAACATCTGCAAACGTGTTCCAAGTGAACGGAACACGGATTGCCAGAACTCCGCTGTAAAGAGAGGGTCCCTATCAGACACGAGTTCACGGGGTAACCCGTGAAGTCGGAGGATAGTATCGATGAAGACACGAGCACAGCCCTGGGCTGTGATTGACTCCGGTACAGCAACAAGATGTACCATCTTGCTGAACCGATCACAAACACAATAATACCGGTATTCTTGTGAACGTCTTTGGGAAACCCAGAAACGAATCCATCGATACGGACTGCCAGCACTCTGCCGGATTCGGTAGAGGCTGCAAGGGCGTACGGGATGAAGTACTAGGCTTAACCTGTTGGTAAACTTGGCAAGCACGGAATTACTTGCTCACAAACTCTTACTGGAGGGGCCAGTAGAAGTCACGACTCACCGTGAGGCAAGTCTTTTCTCTACCGCGATGCCCACTCGTTGGGGCATCGTGACACTCATACATGATGCGCAATCGCAAATCAATATAAGCGGTAATGACGACACGAGGTGTGTGGCCATTAACTGCTGTATAGTACAGCAGTCCATCAAGAACCGAATACCATTCGGTTGAAGAGTGGCATTGATACGTTAAGCTTTCCAAAACTTGACTGCATGGATTGTATGCGCAATCAATCAATCGCAGAAGAGAATTTTCTTCTGCATATGCTTTCCGCACGTCGTCGAGCAGACTCGACGACGGAACACTCACTGTTAGTGTCGCTACAGTGAGATCACCCCTAATGGTGGGTTGAGTAGTCGGATCGAAATCGGGCTGACGCGAAAGTGCATCAGTGACGACATAAAGTCGTCCTAGTTTTTACTCGATGGAGAATGTTCCGCGAAGAAAGACACCGACCTTGCCATTTGTTGCGAGAGGTGTGGACTGTTTACGGCCGTGCGTAACAACGCATGGTCGGTATACACGATAAAGGGCCTATCTCCAAATAGATATACCCGAAACTTGGCCAGTGCATATTTCATGGCAACGAGTTCCTAATCATGCACCGGGTAATTTTTCTCAGCTGCTTGCAGCTGGCGCGATTGGTAACAGGCGACGTGCTCAACGCCGTCTGAGTCGTACTGCATCAACGCGAAGCCGATTGCAAAATCGCTGGCGTCACAGACCACATAGAATGGCCTGTTCTGATCTGCAATCGCCAACACAGGCGATTGTACCAAGCTTTTCTTGATACCTTCAAAAGAGTGCTGACACGCATCACTCCATGATCACCTCTCGTTTTTTCTTAAGCAGACGAAATAGATGTACGGTCATCTCGGCATAGTTGCGCGAGTATTTGTGCAAGTACGCTGCCAAGCCAAGGAGCTTTCGAAGTCCATTGATGTCGAATGGCACAGGCCAGTCGCTAATCCCCTTGATCTTTTCCGGATCAGGGCGTACACAGATTTTACCCAGGATGCAGCCAAGAAGTGGTATTTGTTCGCTGCAAATATGCGCATCTTGAGGTTTGCGAACAACTTATGCTCACGCATAATTGTAAGAACCTTCCGGACGTGGATTCTATGAACCTCCACGTCCGTCTTTCCATCTATAGCCCGGCTATGGACGAAGACATCGTCGAAGTAGCTCGGTGTGAAATCGCGCATTGATCGCAACAGATTCGTAAAACGTATGTTGAAAGTTGCAGGGGCGTTACTTAGCCCCTGTGGCATTACTAGCCACTCCCACAGCATACCACTGGGGGTGCTCACTGCTGTGTACGGGATGTCCCGTTCACGCATGAAGATCTGATAAAATCCATCCATCAGATCCATGGACGAAAAGATGGTACTCTATGCCATACCATCTATGATGACGTCCTTTCTTGAGATCGGCGTTAGAGCTGGTACCGTTTCAGTGTTCAATTTGTTGAACGCTTGCACTATCCGCCACCCTCCTGTGGCCTTTCGCACACAGAAGGACGTATAGCTGTGTGGGGATGTTGATTAACTCACACGACCAGCCGCTAAACGATCAGCAACGAATTGGTCGATCGCTGTGACCTGTTCAAGAGGCAGTGACCACTGCTTCATGACACAGTGCTTTGAACCACGTTTCCATTCGATCTCATGCCGAGTGCCTGTGTCCTTGGGCAGCTTGCATGGCACGGATTCCGGGAAAACATCCCTGAATTCAACCACATCCTTGTACAAAGGATTTGTCTTCAAAGAATCTCAAAATTGAGACGTGTATTGCTCAATCCGAGTCTCCTCATCGAGGACACTCTCGTCCAACGATGAGCTACTGAGAAACCGTTCGTTCTCAGCAAACACCTGTGCCGACCGAATATCGGCGACGTACTCGTCCTCTGTGACGAGTACGCAGATCTTCTTGATCTTTTCACTACGCAGATCTCGCAAGAATATTTTAGATTCTAGCGTTGGCAACTTGACCACCTCCGAAGCTGATTTTGGAGGTGTAACCAGATCAATTGAATGAGCGCCTACACTGATTCCGTCATTCACCAAGACACTGTCTCGGTGATTTCCTGGGAAAACGCATCCGCAGGTGGTTGGGTAAAAAAACACCCTCATCATAAATCTCTCGGGAATGGTCACTCTCAGGAACGCTGGAATTTTCTTCCATTACGTGTTCTGAATGTGGGTGCACTTCCACATTTATGTCCTCGTCGATCGACTCTGTTTTAGTCGATCGTGCTTGCTTTTGCGATCGACTCTCTGTTAGTCGATCTCGCTTAAACGTGTTGTTCATTCTGAAACAACACAAACATCTCTTCTTGGATGCACCCTGATTGGTGTGCATCCGTGTTCCACTCCACTCGATCTCTTCGAGTGGTGAACCTTCGGCGCAGCCTGTGTCTCTACACAGGTTCTGGAAGCTGGTTCCACGATGTAGTGGCCTTCTACACTGGGATCGTGTGCAGTCGTACTAACGACCGTACCACAAGTGAGGCCATCGCACTCACTCTTAGTACATCCACACGCTTATGGACGCTCCAAGACGTTCGTCAGATGGCCATCTGAAAAACAAACGGCAGGCATCTTCACGGATCGATGCTGCCAGCTGCCCTTGGCTGGTATTTTCTAAGCCATGGCAGACCGCGGATGACGTCAAATTAGTCATTCAAATCCAGTACGATGCAATCATCATCGTACTGCTTTCCTTCTAACGTGTAGTGAATTCCCACTACACGTTTGTCCACTGTTACGGATGCGCCTGTAGCAAGAAACACCGTCATCCTCGTTGGAGGGAACTCTCGCTGAACATAGTTGAGTCGAATCTCTTCTAACGACTGGCGTCGAATAAAACTGTCGACGCCCCACAGTCTACAAGGGCGCGAAGTGAAATTCCACTTGTCACTTCGATCTTCAAAGTGATGAGGGACACCTCATCACTAAGGGCAGTAACACACAGAGACTGTGTGATGGGAGCAATCTTCATCAAGAGTCCTGCAAATTCTCTTGACGTTGCTGAGTCAGCAGGGTGCTCCGCCTCTACCGACCCTGTCGGTTTTTTTGATGTCCGACTTGCTGTCGCGGTTTAGCAACATGGTTGGACCCACGCCATGGAACTTTCCTTGGCCAACGGTGGTCATCACGTCCTGTTTTCGAACGTGTCGCATTGTTCGGGACACTTCACTCATGAGCGTAGTGACCAATCTTCTGACAGCGATGGTATCTTGCCGTTCGCATGTGAATCAGAGAGTGAGAGTTCTCGATCTCGATGTGACAGAGGTCCACAGGTTCGGACCTCCTGTTTCCTGTCGTCTCGTCGGACGATAGTTGGACGAGTTAGCCTGAGACTGTCTCAGGCTGAAGTCTTCTTGTTCCGCACACGCTATCGCCTTTTCCAGCGTATGGAAATCCTCTCGGAACATGTTGGTCTTCACCGGCCCATCCACAAGACCGTAGATGAACACGTTGATGAGCGTGTGCTCATCAACAGGGTTTCCCGTGACGCTACTTGCAAGGTAGCGCAGGTGCTGTGTATAAGCGTGCAAATCACGCTTACCTTGCTTGAGCCTTAGGAGTGCAGAGCGTGCTCTGAACTCGGATCTTGGCGGCTCAAACGTTTCTTTAAGCCGAGACTTCAAGATCTCTAACGACTCGCACACGTTTGGGTCGTGAAGTTTGAGCCCTAAGGCCCAAGTCTTTGCGCGTCCTGTCAAATTTGACAGGGCAAAGGTGACTTTCGTCTCGTCACCCTCAATGTGGAGGACCCTGATGGCGTCGTCTAACTCGACAAACCATCTCAAAAAGGAAGCTTCATCGGTATCCTTGTACCTTGAGATATCTGTCTTCAAGGGTTCGGGTCGACGCATGTGCTTTGTCCCACCCATCGAGTGATGAGAGCCTTGCTGCTGTAGCAAGGCTATCTTCTTTCGTTTGACGGCAATTTCCCTTGTAGAAACTTGTTGATAGCGGCATGTTGCTGGTCTCTGTTTACAGACTCCAACATGCCACTAATGGCGTATTCGCCCAGGAGCACACTCATGTGGCCGACTGTCTCCCATTCTGAGTCACTCAGATGGGAGTAGCCTGCACGTGTGACGTGAAAGCTGTCGTCTTCTACGTCCAACATGTTCATGTTGGACGGACACTAAGTAGTCGTTAGACGAACTAATAAGTGCTACCAGGTGTAACGGGGCACCCTTTGTTTGGGGTGCCACGAAACTTCACGTACACTAGTACGTGCAGAGGAAGCTAAGCTACTTAAACGACTCGTTCAAGTAAAGATAAAAAGAGAGCTATATTTAATCTAGTTAAGCTATCAATTTAACTCTAATCTTTTTCTAACTATACTAAACTACGCCGTCGTATGACGACAACCTGCTTACCACTCATTGCGCGCGTCTAGCAGCGATTGGTGGCAATCTAAGGTTGATATGTCTTATATCAACCTTTTTTCGAGCAGCGCATGAATGCCATCAAAAGGGGATAAAATTTCTTCATTATATTCTATCTTGAATAATATTGGTAGAAGATTGTCATGCTAGACAATATTCCTATTGACACCGTTTGGTGTCAATATCATGTAACAGGCTAACCGGTTACAATTATGGTGGCGCGATTCCGTTGTATAAACCATACTGTGGTGTAGCATATGTGTCGAGTATGGGTGTATTTGGACAAAAAAAGGGGGGCGTATTCAACGAGACCCTTTTATTTTCCCAACTATTTATTCTATATAGTTATAATGGAGCGAGCTCACCCCGATTTAGTCATTAATGGTCAATTCGTGTCCTCTCATTCTGCTATTCCAAATCTGACACCAGTTTACCTGGCAACGTCTCGTCGGAGCGACTGCAGTATGCCCATTATCGGTGTGCCGTCTCATGTACACCCATATGGTTTGCAGGAATATGATCACCGGCAGCTGTCGGGCAAGTCCAACCATGTCGCGTATCGTCAGGTGTGCACATGTCGATTAAGATAAAGCTTTGTACTTTACCTTGAATGGCTGCATGCTGGTCGATAAACTTACAGCCTAATCGGCGACAACGAGACCGAACTGCTGTCACAAATGCGCCTCGGCATGCGTATTCGCACAAGAACCTGTAGCTCAAGTGGTTTGGTGTGGCAGCACCATGCGAGAGGTCACTGGTTCGATATCCAGTGACTGCAACAAAAAAGTTAAAACCTTCGGGTACTGGTGTGCCGGGGTTCACCAGCACTGTCCTGCCAGACAGTGACGTCCCCCATCTTAGTAAGTTACGATGTTTGTTAGAAACACACTATCTGAGTTAGAAACGTACGACGAGACGATTAGTAATGTACGACTAGACGATTACTAACGTAGAGTCAGAAAGAATTCAGTAGGCTTAGAGTAGCAACAGGAGGTTGTGAACTAAGGACCTAAATATATTCACTGTGCATTTGCAAAACTTCGATCACTTCCTTTAGGTTATGAGCCCAAGCTTCGCAGACTCTGACAAAGACCTCGATCACGCCTTCGCCATGGACTCGTCTCTGTTTACCGCCGCTCGCATTAACAAGTTCTCCGGAACAAACTTCCATGTGTGGAAGTTCAAGATGCAAATGGTGCTGGAGGAGCGAGACCTGTGGGACGTCGTGAGCGGCGAGGTCAAGATCGAGCACTGCACAAGTACTTTGGACCAAGCGACGTTCAAGCGAAAGTCGCGAAAGGCGCTAGCGATAATCTGTCTTGCGATGGAGGATTCGCAGTTGCCACTGGTTCGCTCGGCGAAGGACGCGTATGATGCATGGTCACGTCTGGAAGGACACTACGAGAAGAAAAGCTTGGCTAATAAGCTCTTCCTTCGTCGCCGGTTCTTCACGACAATGATGGGAGAAGGTGATGACGTGCTGGAGCACATCAACAGACTCAAGACTCTGGTGGAGCAATTGGACGCAGTCGGTGCTCCGGTCAGTGAGGACGATTTGGTCATCACGCTTCTGGCCAGCCTTAGCGAGTCGTACCAGTTCCTGATAACAGCATTGGAGTCGAGAGCCGACTCTCTGTCGTGGGAACTAGTGACGTCTCGGCTATTGCATGAAGACATGAAGCGCAAGGAGCAAGGTGGCGGAATCGAAGGAGCCGCGCACGGTCAAGCTCAAGCATTCATGTCAAGAGACAACAAGCGCAAGGCTCGACCGGCTAAGAAGACCGGTGCGTGCCACAATTGTGGAAAGCAAGGACATTGGATTGCCGAATGCCCCTCGCGCATCCAGGAAGACGCTGATCGACACAGGTACCAGCGTGCAAACATCGCGCAAGAACCGGAGCTTGGCGATTACCTGTTCTCGGTTGGTGGTGGCAAGACCAAGTCGAGTTACATGTGGCTGGTCGATTCAGGGGCGACGCAGCACATGACAAGTTCGAAAGAGTTCATGAGGAACTACAAGGACTTTGGACCAGTAGATGTGCATCTTGCTGATGATGGAGTTGTACAAGCGATTGGAAAGGGTGACATTGTCATGTCAATGATGACTCGTCAGGGCGTCAAGAAGGGTGTGCTCACAAATGTGTGGCATATCCCAAAGTTATCTCGAAACTTATTTTCCGTTGGAAGATTCATCAAGGACGTGGGGCCTGTCACCTTTGAAGTCGATGGTTGCTTCGCGGAAACGAAGGGTTTCAAGTGGAAACTAGGCGCTCTAGAAGGAAAGGGATTGTTCAAGCTTTGTATGACACCGGTGCTTCCTGACGAGGTCAATGTGGCGAGTCCAATAAACTTCAAAGGAGACAACACTTCCTACCTTTGGCATCTTCGACTTGGCCACATTGGTCATGGTGGTCTAGATGCCATTGTCAAGAAAGATTACGGCAGTGGAATCGGCATGAAGTCTGTGCAGAAGTGGGAGTTTTGTAAAGGATGCGCACTTGGCAAACAAACACGTGTGAGCTATATGCCCAAGTCACCCGACCGAGCACGTATGTTGCTGGAGGTCATTCACAGCGATGTGTGTGGCCCCATGAAAACTCCTACCTTCAGTGGAAAACGATACTTCGTGACTTTCATTGACGAATACTCGCACTACTGTGTGGTGTATCTGCTTCAAAACAAGTCTGAAGTAGCGACCAAGTTCGCTCAATTTGTTGCGTTGGCGGAAACCCAAACTGGCAAACGTGTGAAGACTCTTCGAAGCGATAATGGTGGTGAGTACACTTCCAGAACGATGTCCAAGTTCTGTGCGGACCATGGTATCATGCAGAAATTCACGCCGCCTTACACTCCTCAATTGAACGGTGTCGCCGAGCGAATGAATCGGACATTAGTGGAAAGCGCTCGTTGCATGATGGAACATGCTGAGTTATCCAAGTCGTATTGGGGTGAGGCAGTCATGACTGCGAACTTCCTACGTCTTCGCTGTCCAAGTCGTTCAACAAGTCACGACAAGTCACCCTACGAAGTATGGAGTGGTAAGAAACCTATACTTGCAAACCTGAAGGTGTTCGGTTGTCATGCATACGTGCATGTGCCCAAGCCAAAGCGGTCCAAGCTCGATGCAAGATCGATTCAGTGTCGGTTCATTGGATACTCCGACCATGAAAAAGCGTACCGTTTCGAGGAGATCAAGAGTCGTCGTGTACTGGTCAGTCGCGACGCACAGTTCATGGAGAATGTTTTCGACAGTGGGAGACGCGACTATGTGCAAGATGGAGCCGTCGTCGAAGAAGAAGCTTTTATGGAAGATGAGGATGTACCTATGGAGGACTACTCCTCTCATGACACCAGCAACATGAATTTTGAAGAGGCTACAATGGATGGCGTTGATGAACCCGGCGTTAAGAGACACCAACGCACACAGTCGCTCGAGGCCTTGGCCAACGCTCCTGATGCGAAACGTCGAGCTCGATACCTTACCATGGCCGAGATGTCTGCGACTGCTGATACCAGTCACTCTGTTGAGACTGCCTACGTCGTGGATTCAGTGGGAGATTTACCAAGGACATTCAAGTCAGCAATGGAATCCAGCGACGCAGTCAAGTGGAAAGAGGCTTGTGACTCCGAAATAAATTCCCTTCGTCAAAATGAGACCTGGAATCTCGTGCCGCTTCCACAGGGACGCAAGGCAATTGGTAATTGATGGGTATTTCGGGTAAAGGAGACCAAGGATGGAAGAATCGAGCGGTTCAAAGCGCGTTTGGTAGCCAAAGGTTTCTTACAGAAACATGGCATTGACTATGACGAGACCTTCGCTCCTGTGGCCAAGTTCACATCCATCCGAGTTTTACTCAGCTTAGCGGCGAAGTACTCGTTCATGATTCACCAGATGGATGTCAAGACAGCATTTCTAAATGGACATCTTGAGGAAGATATTTACATGGCGCAGCCGGATGGATACGTTGATGAAGATCATCCGGACTTTGTTTGCCAGCTAAAGCGCTCTCTATATGGTCTGAAGCAGTCCCCACGGATGTGGAACCAGACCATTGACAAGTTTATGCTGGACTTGGATTTTAAGAAGTGCAAGACCGACCATTGCATTTATTTCAAGCGAGATCAAGAAGACTTGATTTTTGTAGCGCTGTACGTTGACGATTTGGTCCTCGTAAGCAACAACGCCGAACTGATTAGAGCTACAAAGGATGCGCTAAGTGAGCGGTTTGACATGACGGATCTTGGCGACCTCAAGTACTTCCTAGGAGTGGAAGTTAACCAAGATCGTTCAGCTGGTACGATTTCGATTTGTCAGTCCAAATTTGCAAAGGACATCCTTGAGAAATTTGGCATGGATAACAGCAATCCTGTCAGAACTCCACAAGAACCAGGACTCAAGCTGACAAAGTCAATGTGCGTGGATGGGTGCAAGCATGACGAAACGATGGCAAATGTGCCATTTCGCAACGCAGTCGGCTGCTTGATGTACCTTATGGTGGGTACACGCCCAGACCTTGCAGCTGCAGTGGGAGTGCTTAGCCAGTTCTCGGCAGACCCTTGTCCGACCCATTGGCAAGCTCTTAAGCGGGTGTTACGTTACATCCAAGGCACAAGGGAATATGGAATCGAGTATCAAGCAACAAACAATGACAAACTGCACGGCTACTCGGATGCAGACTGGGCCGGAGACGTGGAAGCTCGACGAAGCACAAGCGGGTACACGTTCATATTGAACAACGGGTGTGTAAGCTGGAGAAGTAAGAAACAGAGCACTGTGGCTCTTTCATCTACGGAAGCGGAGTACATGGCTTTGACGGAAGCTGCACAAGAAGCAATTTGGCTGAAGGCACTATTATGTGAGCTCGACGAGATGAGGAGCGATGAAGCTGTCAAGATTTACGAAGACAATCAAGGTTCCATCGCTTTGGCCAAAAATCCCGAATTTCACAAGCGCACAAAACACATTGACATTCGGTATCACTTTGTACGCGAAAAAGTGGCTGAAGGAACATTGGTGTTGGAATACTGCTCGACCAAGGACATGAAGGCCGACCTGATGACGAAGCCAATTCCTGCAGTACAGTTTCAACATCTACGGAACATGCTGGGTGTCAAGGTGCTAACTTCTGCCGAGGCGAGTGGGAGTGTTGTCACAAATGCGCCTTGGCATGCGTATTCGCACAAGAACCTGTAGCTCAAGTGGTTTGGTGTGGCAGCACCATGCGAGAGGTCACTGGTTCGATATCCAGTGACTGCAACAAAAAAGTTAAAACCTTCGGGTACTGGTGTGCCGGGGTTCACCAGCACTGTCCTGCCAGACAGTGACGTCCCCCATCTTAGTAAGTTACGATGTTTGTTAGAAACACACTATCTGAGTTAGAAACGTACGACGAGACGATTAGTAATGTACGACTAGACGATTACTAACGTAGAGTCAGAAAGAATTCAGTAGGCTTAGAGTAGCAACAGGAGGTTGTGAACTAAGGACCTAAATATATTCACTGTGCATTTTGCAAAACTTCGATCACTTCCTTTACGAACGTTGTGCGGGGCTTGTCGACTAAGAGTCGGACGGCTGTCGTTTTTGTCCTGCTGCTTTGTTTGGAAGGAAAACAGACGCGCCCTTTACATTTTCGGGTCGCCGTCCCATCACTTCCGTTTAGTGTCAGCTCGAAGATGGCGTGTGTTTCATTCTCAGAATTTGGTGACGCTGCTTTCAATGATGATGTCCTCACATGGAAAAACTGCTTCATTCCTTTTTGGGCTCACAAATAAGCGATGCAATCATCGCTCAGTGTATGTAACGGGGTGAATCGTTACATAACAATTTATAAGAAATTGTTAATAGAATATAACTATAAGAGTTATATTCTCAGAATATTGTCATAAGGACAATATTCTGTAGCACTTCCAAGTAGTCCCTAATTGGTTGATATAGGCCATTATATCAACCAACGAAGACGCGCCACGACAGACGCACGCAATGAGTGGTGAGCAGATAACTGATTTACACATTTGTATTTAGACATAGTTAGATGAAGATAAATAGTGATTTATTGCAGACATTAACTATTATAAATACAGTTCTACTTTTTACTCTAACCGAGTACTCGCTTCTTCTTACCGTCTTCCTCTGCACGTACGAGTGTACGTGAAGTTACGAGGCACCGCCTTATTCTGTTATCAGAATAAGTAGCTTGTACTGTCACCAGTACAAGCTTCAGGGTGCCCCGTTACACCTGGTAGCACTTTGTAGTCCGTCCAAGGACCGCGTTCACATCCAACATGAATATGTTGGATGATGAAGATGACCAAAGCTTTCACGCTACGCGTGACGGCTACTCCCATTTGAGCGATGTCGAATGGGATGCAGTTGAACGAATGGGTTCGACCATGGGCATCCATGCTGTTAGCGTCATGCTAGAGGCTCTCAATAGAGATGCCCAACATGCTACTATCGCCAAGTTCATTCAAAATGAACTTGACGCAGAACGCGAGAAAGTAGCCTTGCTTCACCAACAAGGTTCTCAACAAGCAGAGTTGTTGAGAGAACAAGGTGCTCAACAGTTTGAACTGTTGAGACAGCAGCAGGCTGCTGCTGGCGGGTCGATGCACTCGCGTCGGCCCGAGACTTTGAAGATTGACATCTCAAAGTATAGAGGGGTCGAAGAAGACTCCCTCTTGAGATGGTTCGTCGAATTGGATGACGCCATAAGGGCGCGTCGCATCGACGACGGGGATATGCAAGTTGCATTTGCCCAATCAAATCTGGCAGGACGTGCCAAGACTTGGGCACTGGGGCTCAAGCTGCACGACCCATATGCGTTTGGGTCGTTGGAAGTCTTCAAGTCGCGGCTCAGACAAACGTTTGAACCGCCTAGAGCTGAGTTCAGGGCTCGAACCGAACTCTTGAAGCTCAAACAGGGCAAGCGTGATGTGCACGCTTACGCGCAACATATACGACATCTTACGAGTTGTATAAGCTCCAATCCGGTGGATGAACACACGTTGGTTTCGGTGTTCATGCAGGGTCTTGCGGATGGTCCCGTCAAGACTCACCTGTTCCGGCTTGAACTAGATTCACTAGAACAAGCCATTTCAATTGCGGAGCAGGAAGACTTCAGTCTGAGACAGGCTCGCGCCAGCTCGACATCATATCGTCAACCGAGACGATATGACAACGGAGGTCCAGAGCCGATGGAACTCTGTTATGTAGAGAGCGAGAAGGCTCGCTCTACAGGCTACAAGAAGTTGCAGAGATGCAACAGATGTCAAAAGACAGGACACTACGCTTACGAGTGTAGTGCCCCTCGTCCAGTGTCTCGCGACACTGGGCGTAGTGACCGTCCACCCATGAGAAAGGGGCAGGGACGAGGGTCCGCTGTTGGTGCAAAGACGCAACAACGGGATGGACCGTCAAAAACGGACAGGATCAGTAGGTGCGGGGCACCCTACTGATCCAGCAACGTCAAGAGAATTTGTAGGCCTCTTGATGAAGGTTGCTCCCAACACACAGACATTGTGCGTTGCTGCTCTAGGTAATGAGATCTCACTCATTACCTTGAAACTCGAAGTGACGAATAAGTTGTCCCTTCGAGCTCTAGTCGATTGTGGGGCGTCCAACAATTTTTGTGCGACGCCAATCGCTAGAAGATGGTCACTTTAAATTCAGTGAATGTGACACACCTCCTACGAGGATGACGGTACGTCTTGCGACAGGCGCATCCGTAACCGTCATGAAGCGCATAGTGAAGATTCACTATACGCTAGAAGATACCCAATACGACGATGACTTTATCGTATTGGATTTGGATGACAAATTTGATGTCATCCTTGGAATACCGTGGCTCAGAAGGTACGAACCACGGGTAAACTGGCAACATCGGACAGTAACGATGCCTGCCGCTTGTTCATCAGATGGCCATCTGATGAACGTTTTGGAGCGTCCACAAGCGTGTGGATGTACTACGAGTGAGTGCGATGGCCTCACTTGTGGTACGGTCGTTAGTACGACTGCACAAAACCTTAGTGTACCAAACGGTTACACTTCGGAGCAAAGTTCCGGCGGCTGTGAGGAAACACAGGCTGCGCCGAAGGTCCACCACTCGAATAAGTCGGGTGGACTGGGACAAAGATGTATTCCTAGAGGGGAACATCTAGAAGAGAAACAATCGATCGCTCAGGTTAAGCGAAACGATAATCCTAGATCGACTGGAGAGTCTTTCGTAGAGGATCTCGCTGTGGTTGCGCAACCCCAGCTAGAGGAAATAAAGGGAATAAGTCCCAAGATAACAAATACGGCGGAAATAAGTTCCCCGAAACCCGCGGGAATAAGTCCCCGGGAAGACGAAGGAATAAGTCCTTCGAAGCCTGAGGGAATAAGTCCCCAGGAAATGACAGAGACATTGAATGTCATAGTCAATAACGGATCATGTGTAGGCGCTTATACACTTGATCTGATTGCGCCTCCGAAGTTAACTTCGGAGATCACTCAGTTGCCAACGCTCGAACATAAAAGGTTCTTGCGTGATCTGCGTAGTGGCAAAGTCAAGCAGATCTGCATACTCGTCGCTGACGACGAGTGTGTAACCGACATAAGGTCAGCAACAGTGTTTACTGAGAACGAGAGAGTTCTCAGTAGTTCATCTATGGACGAGAGTGTCCTAGATGAAAAGACACGAATTGAGCGATATGAGTCCCAATCATGGGAATCGCTCAAGAAAAATCCTCTCTATGAAGATTTGGCTGAATTCAAGGATGCATTCCCTGAAACTGTTCCGTGCAAATTACCGAAGGATAAAGGTGTTCGACACGAGGTCGAGCTTAAACCAGGCTCGAAGTACTGTGTCATGAAGCAGTGGCCACTGCCTCGTGAACAAGTACTTGCGATCGACAAGTTCTTTGCCGATCGTTTAGCTGCGGGCCATGTGAGGGAACCAACTTCCCCACATAGCTCTCCGACCTTCTGTGTGCGAAAAGCAACAGGAGGGTGGCGGATAGTGCACGCGTTTAACAAATTGAACGCTGCAACGGTACCGGCTCAGACGCCGATACCGAGGAAGGACGTAATCATTGATGGTATGTCAAAGAGTACCATCTTTTCGTACATGGATTTGATGGATGGCTTCTATCAAATCCTTATGCGAGAACGGGATATACCCTATACCGCAGTTAGCACGCCCAGCGGCATGCTCTGGGAATGGCTAGTAATGCCACAAGGGCTTAGTAATGCCCCTGCCACGTTCAACAGGTGTGTATCACATCTGTTGAGGCCAGTACGAGAATTCGCGCCGAGTTATTTCGATGACGTATTCATCCATAGTCGAGCTATGGATGGAAAGTCGGACGTTGAGGTTCACAAGTACCACGTCCGACAAGTTCTTACAATCATGCGAAAGCATCAATTGTATGCAAACCTCAAGAAGTGTATATTTGCAGCAAGCGAAATACCACTTCTTGGGTGCATCGTTGGTAAGAACGGTGTACGTCCTGATCCCGAAAAGATCAAGGCGATCACCGACTGGCCCGTGCCGGTCGATGTCAAAGGTCTTCGAAAATTCCTTGGGCTAGCGGCGTATTTGCATAAGTATTCACGCAATTACGCCGAGATGACTGTACACCTCTCTCGTTTGTTGAAAAAGAACGAGAGGTGGTTATGGAACGCTGAATGTCAACGCTCCTTTGAGGGTATCAAGCAGAGCTTGATACAATCCCCAGTCCTAGCAATAGCCGATCAGGACAGGCCATTTCATGTGGTCTGTGATGCCAGCGATTTCGCAATCGGCTGTGCATTAATGCAGTACGACCTTGAAGGCGTTGAACGCGTCGTCTGCTATCAGTCGCGTCAGCTGCAACCAGCTGAGCGGAACTATCCAGTGCATGACAAGGAACTCCTTGCCATGAAGTATGCACTCGCGAAGTTCAGAGTCTATCTATTAGGAGATAGACCCTTCGTTGTTTACACTGACCATGCGTCCTTACGCACGGCAGTGAACAGCCCGCACCTTTCACAACGAATGGCGCGGTGGTTGTCATTCTTTGCAGAATACAACTTTACGGTCGAGTACAAACCAGGACGACTTAATGTCGTCGCTGATGCACTCTCACGTCGTCCCGACTTTGAAACAGTCGCGAAACCCAACAGTGAGACAGTCACTGTTGCGGTTATGACGTCCTCAGTTCCATCTACAACGTTGTATGATGATGTGAGGCGGGCATACGCCCAAGATGGTGAGATAGTGAAGTTGTTGTCACATCTCTCCCAACCATCTCGAGAATCGTTGAAACGATTGTCGTCTGCGTATCGATCTGCATCAGATCGATACACTACTCGTAACGGTTTACTGTACTATACAGCCGTTTCTGGTGACACACCACGTGTTGTCATTCCAGATGATACTGATCTGCGTTTGCGGATCATGTTCGAGTATCACGATGCTCCTATAGGAGGACATCGTGGCCGAGAGAAAACATATCTCACGGTAAGTCGAGACTTTTACTGGCCCCGCCAGTATCAGTTTGTGCGAAAGTATGTTCGCGCATGCGAAGTCTGCCAACGAGTGAAGTCAAGTCCTTCACTGCGTGCACCTTTACAGCCTCTACCGGTTCCGGCTGAGTGCTGGGAATCCATCTCAATGGATTTCGTCTTCGGGTTACCCAAAGACGCACGCGGGAATACGGGTATTCTCGTATTTGTTGACAGATTCAGCAAAATGGTACACCTTGTGGCTGTACCAGAGACAATCACGGCAAGTGGCTGTGCTTGTGTCTTTATTGACACCATCTTCCGACTTCATGGGTTGCCCCGTGAACTCGTATCAGACAGAGATCCACGATTCACTGCTGATTTCTGGCGTTCCGTGTTCAAATCACTCGGAACGCGCTTGAAGATGTCAACATCTGATCATCCAGAGTCAGATGGTCAGACGGAACGTGCCAACCGTGTCCTCGAAGAGATACTTCGAGGATACGTACACTCCTTTAAAAGTTGGAGTGAGTTTTTGCCAATGGTAGAGTTTGCCATCAACAACTCGGTGCATGCGTCCACGACACATACACCGTTTTACGTGAATGGCTTGCGCCATCCGCGTGTACCCACCTTACTAGAGTGTAACTCTGGTTTAAGGGGGGAGGGACTCGCGCGAGCAAAAACCGATTTGGTTCACGCTCATCACGCTCTGACGAAGAAGTCATTGCGTTTGATGCCGATATCGATAACATCGATATCGAAGAAGATGATGCCAGTGAGAGTGCGGAAGCCCTCACTGAAGACAATGATGCCAGTGAGAGTGCGGAAGCCCTCACTGAAGAAAAGGTTGTTGTTGCTGCAGTGCGCTCACAGCACACTGAAGCTAACGAGTCATCAGATGAGTTCATACTGGCTCGTGAAACGGTAGTCCGTTTTGTGCAAGACTCCATCGCCGAAGCGGTGGATAAGCAAAAGCAAAACGCTGACAAGAATGGAAGGGCAAACACTCTTTTATTTAATAAAGGTGACTTAGTCCTACTGTCTACGGTTAATCTACCAAAACATGTAGTGACTAACTTGGGTAGCAGTAAACTACTACCCAAGTACATTGGCCCATTTCGTGTATTGCACCGCCTAGGCAATGCATACACGATCGAGTTACCACGTAAGATGCGAACGCATCCCACGTTTTACGTTGGTCGGCTTAAGCCGTACCATCAGTACGCTGCTTCTTCCGATGAAGAACGCCCTTGCGCTCAAGCATCTCGCAGAGAGCCTTGTGCTCCCGATGGTGGGCATCAACAAGGGTCTGAAGAGCAGTTATCTCAGCCCGAGACCGATCAACAATCCCACGAGCTACCCTTAGCTCGTCACGAAGAGATCTCTCGTTCTCAAGCTGAGCAAAGGCAAACTCAGCTCGATGCTTCGAGGCAGTGTCCACCATCTGGAGACGCCTATTCCGCTCATGCTCGAGATCGTCGCGTAACCCTTGCGTTACGCGATCAAAGAAGCTCTCGGGAACACACCGATCCACATGATCGTGTGGAGAGCGTCTTTCCTCCTCCTCCACCTCCATTAGAGGACTCTCGCGGTGGCCAGCGCTATCTAGTAGAGCAGCTGTTGAACCACCGCGACGTGAACGGACGTCGGACGAGTTATCTCGTCCGGTGGCGCGGCTATCCCCCGTCCTGGGATACTTGGGAGCCCCGCTCCCAACTGATGATTGACGTACTGGGTCTGGTCGAGCAGTACGACGCGACACATCCTGTGCCGCAGAAGGACCGCCGGAGAAAGTCTTCCCGGCACGGTCGTAAAGGGATTTCAGGTTGTCAATCCCTTCGTACATATCAGTAGAGACACGTACGCGCCACCACGGGCTGGTAAGGAGGTAAGCCTCCTTAGGTGCTCGTGCAGAGTTGTTCACACAACATGGGCACGAGTCTCCCCAAGAGAGGCAGGGTAATCCTTTCTCCCTTGACAGACGATGCAGCTTATAGCGTGCACCTGTCGGGGTTCGCTTTTCAAACTTATCACGAGCTTTGATAAGTTTGTCGTTCCAAGCGTCACGACCTACATCCTCGAGATTATGGATGTAGGCGTTCCACGCCTGAAGTAGTGAGGGACCATCACGTTTGTGATTCCCACTGTACCATCGATGTCTGAAGAAAGCATCGATGAAGAACTCATGTTCAGCGCGATAGTCTTTCGCGCTGGGGTCAAGGTGATGAATCCTTGACGAATCGAACAATCGTGTTCGATAACGATCACTCGTCGTCGCCGACAAGTGATCCATGACAGATTTAGGAGGCATCCATGCCTTCTTTTCTGGAGCGAGACGCAACACATTGCGGTCCCGCTCTTCCTGCGACGTGCCGACAGAAGTACTGGCACCTCGCTGTGAAGTGGTGTCCATTGGAGAAACGACACCACTATTAGCGCCCGAGTCTCGCGACCTCGAGCGCCTTCGCTTCGGCGATGGTTCATCTGACTCATCAGATGAACCAAAGATGCTGCGACGCAAAGCATCGTCCATGCCACGCTTGGCAGGCGGCTTGGATTCAATTGCCGTCGATACGGATCCGTCATCCGTATCAGGAGAGTACGAGACACCGAGCTCGTACTCTGTGAAGACACGAATGTCTTCATGACCAGCGCCTGCATCACCAGGTGATACAGGCTGAGTCGATTCAGCAACCGATGGGATATCAGTTGCTGTAGTTTCTGCTTCGGCGTCCGCACAGATACGTGCAGACGCGCTCTCGGCGGCCTTGCTCGCGCATCGCATGGGCTTGTTTACCATGCGATGAGATGTTGGAAAGTGGACGCGGACCAACAAGTGCAAACCCCGTCCCAAATGATTTGGGACGAGTATCCATTTAGTCAATCAGTCACTAAAGTGACTGATGGTTAGGGGGGTGATGTAACGGGGTGAATCGTTACATAACAATTTATAAGAAATTGTTAATAGAATATAACTATAAGAGTTATATTCTCAGAATATTGTCATAAGGACAATATTCTGTAGCACTTCCAAGTAGTCCCTAATTGGTTGATATAGGCCATTATATCAACCAACGAAGACGCGCCACGACAGACGCACGCAATGAGTGGTGAGCAGATAACTGATTTACACATTTGTATTTAGACATAGTTAGATGAAGATAAATAGTGATTTATTGCAGACATTAACTATTATAAATACAGTTCTACTTTTTACTCTAACCGAGTACTCGCTTCTTCTTACCGTCTTCCTCTGCACGTACGAGTGTACGTGAAGTTACGAGGCACCGCCTTATTCTGTTATCAGAATAAGTAGCTTGTACTGTCACCAGTACAAGCTTCAGGGTGCCCCGTTACAGTGTATGTCACAGCTTCCTCCATACACCTACGTATTCTTTCCCCTGGTCAGGGCGATCCCGAAGTAGATGTTCTTCGACCACCAGGGGTAGTGCCGGTGCTTGTCTACGTGAGCTATGTGCATATAGGCGTTCGTCAAGCAGATTTGAGGTGCCAAGTTGGACCACGCAAGAATGTATGTGCATGTATTTTCTCGAGTCTAAAGTCGAAGAGCTTGCGCTGAAAAGATGCAAGGTAGCAAACAGTCGTGTAAACATTAAAGGTTCGCCTAGGACTAAGGCTTGTGGGTATCACGCTGAACTCAGTCGTGTAGACATTAAAGGTTCGTCCAGGACTAAGGCTTGTGGGTATCACGCTGAACTCACTGATAAACAAATTCCTGTGGCGGTGGAGATAAACAAATATCTGTGGCGATTCCATTAAGCGTGCTAGCACCGTGCTAGAGCTTTCAAAACAAAAGCGCTTAGAGATTCCGTCGTGATTGCTCTGTGGTCCGAACAGCAACAGTCAGTCCTTTTCATCATTCATTTAGTCAGCGTTCATTCTGCTGATCTTATCAACCGGGCTAATGATTGCCAGGAGTGCGTTTGCCACGAGCAGTAGCACCCCCTCGCAAAAGACTTGCCCCAAGCATTGATGGTCGATGGACACTAACCCTCGAATTACCTCGTGCCGTGTGAGATCCATTCTGTGCGCCTAGTGTTATCTCGTCGTGGTCGTCGTGGTCGTCGTGCATCACGAAAAAGCTCGATCTGTCGCGATGGAACGGGTCGAAGCCGGCAGCGGACGAAGTACCATAAACCGCCACACGGGGTGGCGGGGGTGGCATCGGTAAGTTCTCGCTTGCAAGCGCCTCAGCAAGACGATCGTAGTCCACCGAGTGGTGGTTCACCACATTTCGGCCAAGCGCCATGCGACGGCCTTCCAGACGCAAATCTGTCAAATCTCCGCTGTGGCCACCTAAGAAGTACGAGGCCGTACTGAAATCGCTTGTTGTACTGATCTCGTTCGACAGCGCCTCCGCCAACTTTGCGTCGAGTAGTGCCATTCGTGTTGCAATGTTCGCCATCGCAATAGATGGCTGGATCACCAAAACTCCCTGCCCCTTCATCTCCTTGCTGAACTTGCAATCCGGCACAAATGCAATCATGCGCGGGTGTGCTGCGCCTAGCAACGACTTCAACATCTGCACATTCTCGCGCGTGCGGTTAGAGTCACCCGTGAAGATGATCACGTCTGCCGCTGACATAGCTTGCGCATTCTCCCGGTCCTTGAGTGTGTTCTTGTACGAGATGAGATCTCCCTTTGCAGCGCGGTGCAGGATAGCCTCGTTCATCTTTTGCCACTTTTCAGTACGTTCTTGGTCCAAGAGAGGCACGTTGACCCGCGCACCGTAGAGCGAGAGCTCGAGAGCGATCTCGAAAGCCACTTCGTCGTCGCCAATGACGACCGCGTTTTGCACTTTGGTGAAGGGCAGGAGCAGATGAGGATCCCCGTTGCACCTGGTCGTACCCGACATGGTACCTCGACCCATTTCATACAAGCTGCCTCTGGCGAACCCGCCACCGTGAACGCTATTGCTGAAGCTGCCACTATAGACACTATTGCGAGTGCCACCACCATGGATACTGTTGCCAAATCCACCATTTACATTAATTTTGCTGAGGCGACCACCTTGGATACTCTTTTCCGTGTGCTCCGTATCCCCTTTGAGCGCTTCAACTTGCAGCATGCGGTCTTTCAACGTCTCCCCCGATCGACGTAAACCCATTGAACACAATGGGGGACCGATGATCTGGTTCACCACGACAGCAGCCACAATCGTCGAAGCAAACTCCATTGCCCACGGTTCATCACTCATAGCTTTCACCTCGTTAGCCAAACCCAAAGCTACGCCAGCCTGTGGGGTCAGAGTAAGCCACAAATTGTTGTACTGCATCGGCGAGAGCTTGAGGATGTAGCGGCCACCTAAGTAGCAAGCAATGAAGATTGAGATATAGCGCAGCATGACGTACATAGCCATCAGTGGGACGGCTTTCAACGCCTGATCCAGCTGCAACGCTGCCCCCGTCATGACAAAGAATGGCAACAGCATGTATGGTGCGGTCGTGTCGAGGATCACGTGCATATCGTGACGGATAGGCTCGTAGTGTCCGGCGACACACGACCCAATCATGAGCACAAGTAGCGCTTCGAACTTGATTTCCCACGATAGCCCAAATGCTGCTGCAGTGGCTTCTGCGAGGACGTTGGTTGAGACGTAGAACATGTATCCCATGCTCAGCCAAATGAAGGCCTTCAATCCTAACCAAAGCCGCGGGGACATGAAAGAAGACGGAGGCGCGTAGTGTAGTTCGTCCATTGTACAATTGCCCACCTGACTGCCCGATTGCGACTCCATGTCTAAGTTTGAATGACCTCTTTTGTTGCCGGTTTTCTGATCGAGGTACGGCGCGTCTTCCTCGTGATCGCCATGGCCACCATGATGCGCCCCGCCTCCAGGAAGTTTAAAAATCAGGATAATCACGCCACCTAGGAGGAACCCGACCAAGATGTTGGACCCCACGATACCCATTGTAAACACGAGGTTCAGAAATGACACGTCGAGCTTCGCACAGTAAGTGGAGCAGATAATGCGGGCGATGGAGAACGAGATGAGCACGATAAACTCAGCTGTCATGGTCGCCCCGAGCATTAGACTCGTGAGGGGACCGACACTGTCAAGCTCGATCTTGATGGCCATGACCGTTCCTGGTGATACCAAGACCGAGATGGACGCGAACATGAGTGCTATGCCCAATTGGCACAACTCGCCCAGCTCGTCGTAGAAGAACCAGTTTTCAGCAAGCAACATGGTCGACGTGACGATGATCATGGCAGTGATGTACGAGATAGTGAGCAGAGACACGATGGACTTGGCTTGGGGTTGCAGCTCCGGCCAGTAGATTTCCTGACCGGCCTGAAATGAAATGAACGACAGTGCGAGAGCACTCACGTAGCTCGCGAGCAACGACACCATCTCTTGTGTGATCAGGTTAGCGATGAATGGGCCCGCGATGATCCCGGTGAAGAGGTAGCCCGTAATGAGCGGCAGCCTGAACAGCCTAGGGAAGTACAGTCCAAGAGGGTGGGCTGCCACGAGCACGACAATGAAGGCCAGGACGTACTGCACCGTATCGACCGCGTTGCTCCAAGAGTTAAACGGCACGGTCTTGTTCTTGTCCTTGCCTCCGCCTCCACTGAGTCGACGTGTCACCTCATCGTTGTCACCGACTTCGTCCCCTGCCACTGGAAAAGCTGTTACTGCCGGTAAGGATGTGGCAACGAAGAGTGTGAGCGCAAGCAAGAGCAGAGTCGAGTGCGGGGAGATGAGCGGACGCCTCATGCAGACACGAGGGACAGGGCGGAGCATCTCTTTTGCAGATGACAATTGGTGTTGTCCTAGCACCCGGTCGTCTGCTGATGGAGGGAAATGCTGGAATGACCGAGTTCCTGTGTTCTCCGTTTTCACTCAGACTTTTCTGGTCCCGACGGACGTGCTTTGGCACGCGATCGGTGCCACATAAACAAGCAAAGCGCTCCTTGCGAAGATGTTGTGGCACATAGGCTGGCCGATTGTCGTTTGCTCGGCCTTGGAGGCATTGGCCGTCTAGAAAAGTCGAGTTGACGTGCCTGAGTTACACTTGTTAAGCATGACCCCGCTCTTTCCGCACGAATCGTTTGGACTGACACCAGCTGTGTGGGAAAGCCACGTCTTTGCGTGGGTGTCAGTCTTGTTCGAGCTAGCCGACGATGTTGCGGCCGCGGGGAGAAGATACGGTTCGAGCACGACCGACTATTTCACGCCGCTTGTCTATGTTTTCATGTGTTCGCAAGGATGCTGTGTCAATTGAAACGCTTTGTAATGCTGGAAAATTCAGCACGCGAAGCAACTACGAGCACCAGCCTCAGCATCTGAATGCAACGTGGAAGATAGGGCTCCGATGGGCGAGACACCGTGCGACACGGTACAATACGTGCGTTTGTGTACGACGGCTTCGCAGCGTGCAACAGCGCCCCGAGGGTGAGGTGCCGACGATTTGTCAACGGGATGGAAACCGGCCAGCGTGTTTCTTGCTACTTGACAGGGAAGCAGATTGTTCACTTACCGCAACAGTTTACTACCAGATTTCTGAAATGTCTTCTGCCGCTCGAATGGTCGAGGAAGTGGCTCCTGTCGCCTGTGGGGGTGTTAAAAAAAAAAATGGGGTGTAAATGGATTCAGGGACACCAAGCGTAGGTCGTGCGCAGGTCGATGTAATTTCCACCGATCTACCACGCCGCTGTTCCTTGTTTGCGACCTCACGAAGGTGTCAAACGAGCATTTGATGATCTTCCGCTATGTCTTCTTCTGTGGACGCTTTTCACTTCCCAACCGGCAGCCAGCTACAAAAATGGATCGAGACGAGACGCTCCGGGGGGCCAGGAGACTGGCCCCTTTTCCTCGGGCTGGAAGTCCTCGTAGTGGGTCAAGGTGAAACGGGGGAGGGTTCTCCTCGATGCGTGCGCTAGAGGGGGCAGCGCAGCGTGTGGTTTGAGAGAGAGAAGTGGTCCGCAGGATATCCTGGTGCAGGGCACGTCGACGATGGATCGAATCGCCCTGTAGGCGAAGAAGTTCCTACTCTTCACAGTTTGCCCACAACTCGCCGACACGTTCGCTGAGCACTGGCACGGTCCCACGAAGACAACGCCCCCAAGACCGTGATGACCCCCGCGGAGATCCAGTACGGGTCGTTTATATACAATAGCACCGGGCCAGATATTCTTCGTCCAGAGGTGCGTCTGGGCACATTTGAGCACGTTGTGAGCCCGAGCCGACCTGACAAGCAAGAAGTCGACCACGAGGTGATGGCTAGGAATTATGTCAAGGTGGCTTGCTGGGACTACCGCAGTGATAACAGGACTCCTAGTCAAGCGTCCTCTGTCCCCTGAATCAAATTGCTCCGAGTGCGAGAGCAGCCCCACCATCCGGTAGAGTGCACACAAGAATGTAACCCCGGACTTGGTCAACAGACGCTTTCTCCACGGGACCGTTTAGGAGTGCCCCGTCGTGACGCCCGACGTCTTGAGTCAGCAGAATGAGAAAGCTAGGAGTAGGAAGACTGTATCGTGGTAGTTGGCACGAGGTGGTTGCCACAAATCCAGACATCACATTAGTGATAAGTAGCGATAATCGACAGTCTCAGCCTCTCTTCTGTGGACGCTTTTTCCTGCTTACGTGCGCCCTTTATCCATATTGTGATGCTGCAGACGCGTTAGCTGCTGTCAACCATGTTATTTTCCAGGCCTGTCCCAAGACGTCAGTGACACCACGGAACAAGCGCTGGACGTCAGCTCGCACTCGCAGGGGTCTGCTGTCTATTCGTAATCAGCTCTTCCTCGATGCTACGTAATCTGGTAGCCAGTCTACCTGACAATTCTCGTCAGATCAGGGGCGCTGTGCTATCTGCAAGGTTCGTCTCTGGTCCACCCAGATGGTCAGAAGAAATGATTGTGTGACGGCTGTTCAGGTGGCCGATAACGTCGCGTATCGTCAGGGGTGCTGATGTGGCATCGTACACTAATGATGATGGCGCTTGGCCACTGGACATAAAGATGCAGTGCCTGATCGTCAGCACAATTGACGAACACTGGCTGATTATCTCGCTCGTTAGGAAGATCATAGCTTTGACCTCACGTCCGGGGTAGGCGCGTTGGTTTGGAGTTCACATAGTAGAAACGTATTGACAGCCGATAATGGGCATCTCGAGGGTGAGATACCAATGGAGCAAAAGTGGTTTGGGCCACTACTGCGCTCAATAGGCACAAGGCAAAGGTGTAAATGGACGTCACAATGACTCTGTAAGTACATTTACGCAGCGATGCTACCTGGAAGGGCCGCACCAGGCAACTAGCTTATACAGAGCGATAAGCCACCTTCGTTATGTTTGATAGGACAGAGTACCTGCTGAGTAACGGGGTAGCCCGTTACATGAAATTGTAACGGGGTGAATCGTTACATAACAATTTATAAGAAATTGTTAATAGAATATAACTATAAGAGTTATATTCTCAGAATATTGTCATAAGGACAATATTCTGTAGCACTTCCAAGTAGTTCCTAATTGGTTGATATAGGCCATTATATCAACCAACGAAGACGCGCCACGACAGACGCACGCAATGAGTGGTGAGCAGATAACTGATTTACACATTTGTATTTAGACATAGTTAGATGAAGATAAATAGTGATTTATTGCAGACATTAACTATTATAAATACAGTTCTACTTTTACTCTAACCGAGTACTCGCTTCTTCTTACCGTCTTCCTCTGCACGTACGAGTGTACGTGAAGTTACGAGGCACCGCCTTATTCTGTTATCAGAATAAGTAGCTTGTACTGTCACCAGTACAAGCTTCAGGGTGCCCCGTTACACCTGGTAGCACTTCGTAGTCCGTCCAAGGACCGCGTTCACATCCAACATGAACATGTTGGATGATGAAGATGACCAAAGCTTTCACGCTACGCGTGACGGCTACTCCCATTTGAGCGATGTCGAATGGGATGCGGTTGAACGAATGGGTTCGACCATGGGCATCCATGCTGTTAGCGTCATGCTAGAGGCTCTCAATAGAGATGCCCAACATGCTACTATCGCCAAGTTCATTCAAAATGAACTTGACGCAGAACGCGAGAAAGTAGCCTTGCTTCACCAACAAGGTTCTCAACAAGCAGAGTTGTTGAGAGAACAAGGTGCTCAACAGTTTGAACTGTTGAGACAGCAGCAGGCTGTTGCTGGCGGGTCGATGCACTCGCGTCGGCCCGAGACTTTGAAGATTGACATCTCAAAGTATAGGGGGGTCGAAGAAGACTCCCTCTTGAGATGGTTCGTCGAATTGGATGACGCCATAAGGGCGCGTCGCATCGACGACGGGGATATGCAAGTTGCATTTGCCCAGTCAAATCTGGCAGGACGTGCCAAGACTTGGGCACTGGGGCTCAAGCTGCACGACCCATATGCGTTTGGGTCGTTGGAAGTCTTCAAGTCGCGGCTCAGACAAACGTTTGAACCGCCTAGAGCTGAGTTCAGAGCTCGAACCGAACTCTTGAAGCTCAAGCAGGGTAAGCGTGATGTGCACGCTTACGCTCAACATATACGACATCTCACGAGTTGTATAAGTTCCAATCCGGTGGATGAACACACGTTGGTTTCGGTGTTCATGCAGGGTCTTGCGGATGGTCCCGTCAAGACTCACCTGTTCCGGCTTGAACTAGATTCACTAGAACAAGCCATTTCCATTGCGGAGCAGGAAGACTTCAGTCTGAGACAGGCTCGCGCCAGCTCGACATCATATCGTCAACCGAGACGATATGACAACGGAGGTCCAGAGCCGATGGAACTCTGTTATGTAGAGAGCGAGAAGGCTCGCTCTACAGGCTACAAGAAGTGCAGAGATGCAACAGATGTCAAAAGACAGGACACTACGCTTACGAGTGTAGTGCCCCTCGTCCAGTGTCTCGCGACACTGGGCGTAGTGACCGTCCACCCATGAGAAAGGGGCAGGGACGAGGGTCCGCAGTTGGTGCAAAGACGCAACAACGGGATGGACCGTCAAAAAACGGACAGGATCAGTAGGTGCGGAGCACCCTACTGATCCAGCAACGTCAAGAGAATTTGTAGGCCTCTTGATGAAGGTTGCTCCCAACACACAGACATTGTGCGTTGCTGCTCTAGGTAATGAGATCTCACTCATTACCTTGAAACTCGAAGTGACGAATAAGTTGTCCCTTCGAGCTCTAGTCGATTGTGGGGCGTCCAACAATTTTGTGCGACGCCAATCGCTAGAAGATGGTCACTTTAAATTCAGTGAATGTGACACACCTCCTACGAGGATGACGGTACGTCTTGCGACAGGCGCATCCGTAACCGTCATGAAGCGTATAGTGAAGATTCACTATACGCTAGAAGATACCCAATACGACGATGACTTTATCGTATTGGATTTGGATGACAAATTTGATGTCATCCTTGGAATACCGTGGCTCAGAAGGTACGAACCACGGGTAAACTGGCAACATCGGACAGTAACGATGCCTGCCGCTTGTTCATCAGATGGCCATCTGATGAACGTTTTGGAGAGTCCACAAGCGTGTGGATGTACTACGAGTGAGTGCGATGGCCTCACTTGTGGTACGGTCGTTAGTACGACTGCACAAAACCTTAGTGTACCAAACAGTTACACTTCGGAGCAAAGTTCCGGCGGCTGTGAGGAAACACAGGCTGCGCCGAAGGTCCACCACTCGAATAAGTCGGGTGGACTGGGACAAAGATGTATCCCTAGAGGGGAACATCTAGAAGAGAAACAATCGATCGCTCAGGTTAAGCGAAACGATAATCCTAGATCGACTGGAGAGTCTTTCGTAGAGGATCTCGCTGTGGTTGCGCAACCCCAGCTAGAGGAAGTAAAGGGAATAAGTCCCAAGATTACAAATACGGCGGAAATAAGTTCCCCGAAACCCGCGGGAATAAGTCCCCGGGAAGACGAAGGAATAAGTCCTTCGAAGCCTGAGGGAATAAGTCCCCAGGAAATGACAGAGACATTGAATGTCATAGTCAATAACGGATCATGTGTAGGCGCTTATACACTTGATCTGATTGCGCCTCCGAAGTTAACTTCGGAGATCACTCAGTTGCCAACGCTCGAACATAAAAGGTTCTTGCGTGATCTGCGTAGTGGCAAAGTCAAGCAGATCTGCATACTCGTCGCTGAAGACGAGTATGTAACCGACATAAGGTCAGCAACAGTGTTTACTGAGAACGAGAGAGTTCTCAGTAGTTCATCTATGGACGAGAGTGTCCTAGATGAAAAGAGACGAATTGAGCGATATGAGTCCCAATCATGGGAATCGCTCAAGGAAAATCCTCTCTATGAAGATTTGGTTGAATTCAAGGATGCATTCCCTGAAACTGTTCCGTGCGAATTACCGAAGGATAAAGGTATTCGACACGAAGTCGAGCTTAAACCAGGCTCGAAGTACTGTGTCATGAAGCAGTGGCCACTGCCTCGTGAACAAGTACTTGCGATCGACAAGTTCTTTGCCGATCGTTTAGCAGCGGGCCATGTGAGGGAATCAACTTCCCCACATAGCTCTCCGACCTTCTGTGTGCGAAAAGCAACAGGAGGGTGGCGGATAGTGCACGCGTTTAACAAATTGAACGCTGCAACGGTACCGGCTCAGACGCCGATACCGAGGAAGGACGTAATCATTGATGGTATGTCAAAGAGTACCATCTTTTCGTCCATGGATTTGATGGATGGCTTCTATCAAATCCTAATGCGGGAACGGGATATACCCTATACCGCAGTTAGCACGCCCAGCGGCATGCTCTGGGAATGGCTAGTAATGCCACAAGGGCTTAGTAATGCCCCTGCCACGTTCAACAGGTGTGTATCACATCTGTTGAGGCCGGTACGAGAATTCGCGCCGAGTTATTTCGATGACGTATTCATCCATAGTCGAGCTATGGATGGAAAGTCGGACGTTGAGGTTCACAAGTACCACGTCCGACAGGTTCTTACAATCATGCGAAAGCATCAATCGTATGCAAACCTCAAGAAGTGTATATTTGCAGCAAGCGAAATACCACTTCTTGGGTGCATCGTTGGTAAGAACGGTGTACGTCCTGATCCCGAAAAGATCAAGGCGATCACCGACTGGCCCGTGCCGGTCGATGTCAAAGGTCTTCGAAAATTCCTTGGGCTAGCGGCGTATTTGCATAAGTATTCACGCAATTACGCCGAGATGACTGTACACCTCTCTCGTTTGTTGAAAAAGAACGAGAGGTGGTTATGGAACGCTGAATGTCAGCGCTCCTTTGATGGTATCAAGCAGAGCTTGATACAATCCCCAGTCCTAGCAATAGCCGATCAGGACAGGCCATTTCATGTG